AACTAGCAAATATACAGCCACTAAGTTGTCCTTGTTTTCAGAAATTACGTTTAAGCCAACATGTAGGATAATCTTACCTAGAAATAAGGGCCTCCGAAGTCGGTTGAAAATGAAGACCCTAACTATAAGGTGACAAAGATTAGGAGAGTAACATTTCCTTTTCAATTCACCGTCTTAATCAATATAGACGTATAGTTCATTTGAAAACAACTTTTCTAAGGCAAGAACAACATTTTTATTCTTTCCAATTCCCTCTCTATAGATTTGTAACACTCAGAGACAATAAAGGATGTGTGAAATTTCATAGGCTATCGTCTATGTTGCATCATACGAGTCGGACTACTCGATCAGTTAGTTTTCCCGCTATGGCTTTCAGCCGTTCCGGTCACTGACGTGTATCGTTAGTGGCCCGTGCTTTTTCTTGGCCCGGTTTTGTCCGGCGTTTGTCGGTTTCAGGTCTCTGTTCGACCAGCAGTTGTCTTGCCAGCGATGTCACGGAAACTAACCGTTTGTTGCTCTTTCCAAGTTAAGTTGCTTTTAAATTAAATAGTTGTAAGTTTTTACCGTTGGTAAAAAAACTGTTAATTAACAATACTACAACGAAAAATGGAGTCGGAGTGAATTTCTGCCAATGATTGGACTCTTCGCGGCAAATGAAATCAACACTTGGATTATACAACGCACCATATTGATCTCTAACTTGGAGGCGAATTCGTCTGCAAACGTGGATCTGTGTGTATTTGTGTGTGTATAGGAGTTCACGTTTGTTGGCTTTTGTCGGATCTAAATGTATGGATCGACCTGATACAGTTAAGTATTTGGGTCGAGATTTTCTGTGGCTAGAATATTCTTAGTTTGGCTATATAGGCGATGTCAACAGACGTAAAGAATTGTTCCGGGTCGAATCAGTCAGAATTCTGCTACGAATGCAAATATGTTGTTTTAAAGAAGGTCGTAATAATAACTAATACGGATCGACAAAAGAGGATTATCGCTATAATAAATCTAGCTCACCTATAATGTTACTATTCTGTACAATTCTAGTGACGAGAACCCTAGATGCAGCTTAGAACTGGGTGCTAGAACTGGGATGACCAACGAGCTCACAGAAGTTGAGTCGTTTCTAATAGTAAATCAATATATAGGCCGAGGAGAACATCAACTACAATGATAAGAGCGAAACGTTAGCTTTGCCAGCATCGAGCTGTGACTGATAGCGTTGGTCTGATGAGCCCTAGACTTGCGCCGGCCCAGGAACAACGCGGTAACCTCAGCAACGGACACAACACGGGTGCCGGCTAATGGAGCGGAGACAGTTGCGGGGCCAACGGCGGTAAGGCTAGCACCAAGAGGCTCGTATCTACCCAAAGCATCAGCACCAGCCACAAGAGTCAAGACGATAATTACTAGCTGTAACCCAAAACGCACCTAGAATATAGATAATAAGTCGTATATTGTTAAAGCATTTGTCCTTAGATAACTAGTCTAAGATTATTTTGGCCTTATATTTTCGTATTAAAATACCTACTCCTGCAATATTCACCCGTCTATAGAGTGTAGTTCCTTCAAGTGTTTGCACGTGTTAAATATGATCGCTTAAACAGCTGATGTAATCCTAATCATAATATATATATATATATATATATAATAATAAGGGAAAAGAAGTCTATGAGATAATTTTTCAGCCGATTCAGCCACATCCCTTACCTCCTAAGGTGTGTCCTAAAAGAGTAACAACAGTGTATGCGGTAGCTACTGACGTACGGGTACAGTGCAGTGTGATAGAATGTCAACAAGTTTTCCTGTGATGTGACGGCTAAAGTACTTAAATAGGGAAATTGATCACTGCCTTCGAAAAGAAGGCATATCATACAAGTTCTGTCGAGGAACGATCCGCATATTTCGCTTTTAATAATCGCGATTTCATTGAAGAGTTCCCATGCATGCTTTACCCAATGCTGTGTTTACATGTTATCGCTTTTTCCATATTGGATTTTGGATATATGGCGGTGCGCTGGTATTATTTATTCATTCGCAATCTTATCGCAAAAAAATACTACAAATCGAACAAGGTATTAACTAAATGTGGGAATAAATTATTCAAAACTATTACGTAATTTTTCCAATAATAGTTTATGCCGCGCTATTGACCGGTCGTGGTCTTGATAAGCGTCGTAATACACTTTGTACATTCAAGCATTTTTCGATTTACTCGTATCTGCAGAGATATTGTGTTACGCTTTTCGAATTTGCATTGGGTCACTCAAATGACTTAGACGCTAGTCACTTTGTCTGGTGTCGAAAAGTGTGAAGACAAAGGCCTTTCGGGAAGAGATTTTAGACAAATCTCTTCCCAAAATCTTCTTCTCTTTCTTAGACGGAAACAGTTCGATTAGTGAATGCTTGACTCATGCTGACAAACGTAATTGTTTCGGCCTCCGTTACGCGATTCAAATACGATACCCTTCCACAACGGCACGAAAAAACAGAACAGACATGTTTCAACATAAGACTACTATTGTTGGTTACGTAGAAAGTGTAATTAAAAAATTTCAGTGTAGAGGGAAAAAGATGCGGCTATATAGGACAGAAACTGTACGGGTTTTTTAGCAAGGGAAAATTTATTGTAGCTTTGCAGTTTCATCCATTTGATGCAATTTGCGTTAATGGACTGTTCACCAAATGTCAAAAGTTGTTATATGAAACAACTGAAAATTTCCTTTGTGTTCCATCGAAGTTCCGTTGAAGAAGCACGAAAAGCCACTTGTTTTTTTATTTGTTACTTTTTGTTTTAAATCATGGTCTCGCCTATCCCAAAATTACATTTTCGAAGACGAACTAAAGATAAGTTAACATTTGTAAAAGTAAAAGGACAGGATGAGTTGGAACTGTGCAGATTATTGTATTTCGAGCGTAAATGAAACCGAGCGCCGTCGATGCTGATTCTACATAGAAGCTGAAAGAAATAAAAGGCTCCAAGGTATAAGTTAGCTAAGTAGGAATGTGTATATCTGTCGAGTTACGTTGTACCACTTCGGGTTGTTGCCCAATAATGTATCGATATGTCGTTTCCTTCTCGAGATATATTGACGATCGTATAGGCGTTGTCTGGACAAGGCAATATTGTCAACATACGCACCACATTGCCAGTAATCACTACCATCAATGGATAATTATTTACTCCAGAATTACGCATAATCGAGATAGCTATATGGGCTTCAGTACAGTCAGTTTGGGGTGCAGTTCGGAGAACGGTGCGCACGCTATCATTCTTCCCACTTACTTCCAGAATAAAAATGCAATTCGTAGATGTATCACGATTAGACCATTCAAAATCCTGAAGAACTACATGAACATTCGTGGTAGACGACCTCATAACCTATGATCTGTCTAACTCGGCAGTACACGATTATAAAGCATGATCTTTCCTAGCTGAAATCAAAATCCTAGCTATAAAGAAAAGCATTCTTTTCTCAGATCTTTTAAACGATTGACTCGAAATATCATTATTTTAGGCCCGTATAGCCCCATTTAGAATGCTATATCGGGCGACAATACAGAAGCGTTCAATCGGCCTTTATTCGAAAATTAATGAAAGTGAGTTACTATGGGCTACATATTGGAAGAGCCGTCCATGGGTATAATTTTTTCTCTTTCGTGACAATGGGTGTTTTCAGTAATGACCTTAGATATATATATATTGACCCATGTATATGTATGTGCCGAACATGGTGACTAGCCCGTTTCACTAAAATATGTTAGATGCACTTATTATTTGATAAGTTATAAATATTATTGGTCTTGACAATCTGTAAGTTTTATTTGCAGTCAACAGATGATTTTCAGACAGCCTATTTATGAGGCCTTGCCATAGCCAAGACCAGCTTCGTATGTAAGATCAGTTTCATTTCTAACACTAGCGGGGCGGCGGATGGCGACAATCTTTCCAACGATAGTTTCGTGGTTAATTTTAATGGCGGACGAACTGGAGCGGAGTGCGCCCACTTGCACGAGCACTAGGGCAAGATCGGAGGTAATCTCAGCAAGCAGAACGAGGGGTATGGCAGCAGTGTTCCCGCCCAGAGCAAAACCACTTTTATATCCTCCCTAAGCTCTAACACGAAGCTACAGTCATAACCGCTGAAAGCGAGACCACTTCCGTAATCTTCCAGAGCGCCAGCAGAGGCGGAGGCGCCGGGGAAATGACCAGCGCCATTATGTAAACTAGGGCGTTAATGCCGCTATGTGTGTTTGTTAGAAAGTACTTTTTTTTGCATACAAATGGTTTCGTGAATAGATTGAAATAAAGTTAAGAAAAGTGCTATGCAATGCTTTGCACTCATGTTAATGCTTTCACTAAAATACGCCAATTCTACATGATTGGTGCATTTTCTGTTCATGCTTAGTGAGTCCAATTATCGTTAAATACAATCGAGTGGTCCATAGTGAAGTGTCATGTGGAGTACTACCTACGCACTGGGAAGGGTTTGTAGATATGTACTGAGTCCACATGAAACGTCTAGAGGATAGAACCCACTTCAACATGATTGAAGCGTGTATCATGATAAATAGTTATTGTTGTAGATTGAAGGCGTCGGGGTATTTTTTACAATGGGGCGCTGAGGCGTGTCGCCGCTCTAAAACCAACTACAGTCTACCAATGATCTCATGTAAATCTATGATTATTCGCCACTATATCGTAAATGTTGTACGTCCTAAATGCCTATAACGTGATCTAATAATTGTTTAAAATAGTTTGAATTTTTCTCCTTAAAAATTCTTACAAAACATCATATGCTAAAGAAAGACAACTATACGAAATTTCTGCTTCTACCCATTAATTCATGAAGGAAATTGTCAACGCAATTTTCTCTAAATGGCATCGGCCAGGACTGCCCCATAGAGTTAGGCTGATTGCTATCGGTGATGATGTTTTTCTATAAATGTTTTCCTTGTATTTTCCGTGAAATTGTGTTCATTTTAATATAGCACTCGTTTTATTATCTCTTCAAGTTATAGTGCTGTAATTTATTGAAACGCACATAGGTATTCACATTATTATTTCTTGCCATAATCCAGTTTTTTACTTCCTACTTTACAATGTATACGGTGTTTGCAAAGCTACGTAGCTCTATGGGTGTCTAATCAAATTTACCACTTGGAAACACATACATATTCTTTTTGACGCAGTGGTCCTCTGAGGGCGCAGCTGTTAGTATAATCACAAAATTATGTTTGTCAATTTGTTTCGGCAAGCAGACGCTTCGAAATTATGCTGCTATTTAGGTAGCAGTGAAGATTTATGCTTACCTGCCCGTATTTCAGTGTGGCAATTATATAGAGTCAATATACGGATTCAGCGTTTTTCAGCTATTCAGTATCGGTCCGTAAGCCGGTATTTGTTGAGCGTCGCACTTACTAGTCACTTTCAACAGATACGGGCCTGTGCAAGCGATTCATACGTAGGCCTAATTTAGAAACATTAACCGTAGTCGCCTCTAGAAACAGCGATTATGAGAGTTCCACATAGCAGAATAATAAATGAGCCATTCTAAGCGAGTGCTGGCTTATTTATATGTGTTTATAGTGCCATATTGAGCTTTGGATGTCTTAATCGATGACTGAGTTCGATAACCGATTGATAGCAAAGCAATATTTCAACTAGGGTATATGTATTTTCAACTTTCCGTATATAACATGAAATGCCTGTAGCGTTAATATTTCCAGGTAGCAACTACAGCGGAAGACAATGTATTGCAATATATATTGAATACGACAACTGCTTTTATCATTATCAAAGTGTCACAGTGACTTACAAATTTTCAGTATTGCACACTGGTTATTAGGTATGGCAATTTACTATCAGTATGCTATATTCATTAACTTACTAACCTGGACATCGTCAATCTCCTACGACTTGATTAATTTCTTCATAATTTTAATATATTGAACCTCGACACTAAAACAGCAACGATTTAAGAACAAATCTTGTCTTAAGAAGAGCGTGTTGACCATCGAACAGGTAGCTCTCATCTACTGATAATTTACAAAAAAAAAATTCTGATGAATTTCGCTGCTTGATAGCCGTAAAAGAGAGAAGACCTATTTAATAAACTAGCGGGTGCAGTATTTATTTTTTGCTATTATAACTGAATGTGTCGTGTATCCCTTACTTAGTGACGACGTCAGTCAAAGTCGCTTATTTCAAACTGCGCACGACAAATCTACTAGGTCCAATATTGTTTTAATAAAAATCGAATCAATGCTGTATCTATCGCTGGGCGGTCAAGAACATGGTATGTACTATGTTTTACCCGAATCTATAAGATCTACTAATATGATAAGTGACAAGTTTTGTTAGCCTTGTCAGTCTGTAAATTTTATTCACGACTGGCGGGTTATTTCTAAACAGTCTGTTTACCAGGTTTTACCATATCCAAGACCAGCTCCGTATCTTAGATCGGCTGGGACGGCAGCAATGGCGGCAGGGGCGGCAAAGACAATGGGGGCGGCAATGCCAGTCTTTCCAACAACGGTTCCGTGGTTAATTTTAGTGGAATACGAAGTGGTACGGAGAGCGCCTACCTGCACGGGGACTGGGGCAAGAACGGGAACGGCCTTGGCGATCGGGACGACGGGGGCAGCAGCGATGGCTGCTCCATAATTTCCGACAGTGGGGCCACTTCCGTAACCTCCTAGCACGCCAGCAGAGCAAACAGCGATTACGGCGGAGAAAACGATCAGCTGTAACGCATGTAAATAAGAACTACGATGTGATAATGCAAATTCAGTGATTCTTTAATGCGGTCGTGATCTTCAGAATTTAAGCTAGCAAACAGAAGTCGGAATGCATAGGTACAACTTAAGAATACCGTTCGTAACCCAAACACTTACGGCGTGCATGACTGGTTTGCGTGGCAACTAAAAATAATCGTCAGCTTATGGTACGCTGGTTAAATACGTTTCACCTCGTAAACAGAATAACTGGATGTGAAGGCGAGAGGTCTTTGGGAAACAGGCCCGCTGTAACCACAATGTCAATTGAATAGACTGACGTTCAGAAGATACGGCTCACTGCATGAGGGGCCGTAACTATCTATACGGGCTTATTAGCGAACAGCTGTACACAGACGTTTACGCAGTAAATTATCATGGTCTGAACACTTAAATTCGCTATACAGTGAACTAAAGTGTTCTTTTATTTTATACAAAGTACTAGTAATCTGTGTCTTCTTCGATCAGTTACGGCTTTTGGTGACAACCCTTTATTTCGTGAGAAAATTAACAACAATATATCCATGATGGTATTTCATGTTGGCTAATAAAAAGCGCAATATACTATTCACATGATTTTTTTTTCTTCGTCTATTATTTAATAGGCTACTACAGAGGAATACTTAACCCAGTTTTGCGATATAATTTCATTATTCCCTGCTGGAGGATCTGTCAGTTGGGGAACGAAGAGTAGGCCCTTTAAATGGCCCCGACAATCGTGCAGGATGCAGACAAAGTTCCAAAATTCTACGAACATTATGGCATTCAGCTGTTTCAAGTTAAACGAACGAGCGTCCACTGAAACTGCTGTCGGTAATCTTATATGAAAGAGCCTACGAGATTGAGCCAGACGAAACGAAATTACCAGCCAGGTTATTCTGAACGACTCTTTGAATAAATGAGGGTGTGTACGGTTCGAACGTCTATAGTTGTTTCGGTTGCACACTGGCACAGTCTGGGTACAGCAGACTGGACGTTGGCGTCAATCAGAAATTGATCACTAGTGCGTTTTGAATGGCTAAAGGATCATTGATTAAGCTTGCTTGCGCTCTATACGTGCTGCAGTTTCTGTGCTGTCTCTAATTAGCACCATGGTGCGCGATCGGCAAGGCCCGCAGAACAAGCCGACAACAGCCATCGAAGTAAAGGAACAGGTGCCGGCAACGATGACGGTAGCCTCCTATTCGAACTGAAAAGGATCGGGCATCTACCGAATTGTCTCGTGAACGTCAGCTAGCTCGAGCGTTGCAGGAAGGCTCGATGAGTAGTCTTTCAAAGAACATCTTTTCTCTACCACATTTGCAAGCTAGTTTGCTAAATGAAATCGAATGTTTTTATCTCGGTGGTTAGTCGTGCACAGATAGACCATTCATTGTTGTTGCCGCTGTAACAAGCAAACTCTATGGATGCACAATCGGTTTACACTTGGGATTGTTGTACGAAAAATAGCGGTCTTTTTGATTTATGTTATTTATTTAACGACAATTTAATTGAACTTTGTCAGTAAAAGAAGATCTAACACTTCAGATTGCCAGCTGAATCTGAATTCTAGATCAAGCGTTTAGCGGTTTACGCCACACAAAAGATGCAAGCGTACTAGAGCAGCAGGGGTCTGTGAGACATATATCAATCGTTGCCATGGTGCTTATATGGGAAAGGGCTTAAGTTATATTGTTTACATTTTTTTGATGTCCTCGATAGCTTGAAAAACATGTCTGGGAAAATTCATAACATGAGCTTTCCAAAGGCTGGCTAAAATTTAAAAAACGATCGATATCTTTGGATTTTGTTAACGACATTATTTGGAAACGGGTTAAAAACACAAAATAATAACACAGTTGTTGTTACCATCATCATCAAAAGACATCGGCAGAACTTCATCATGTGTATCGTGACCTTTTAGTGGAGCACTGAAAAATTTATTGAAAATTAGAGGCTTAGATGAGGCGCTCAAATAAAGCTTCAAAACAAATAAGGAAAACCGAAGAGTAAAAAGCAAAGAAATCTGAGTCCTTAGAAGGACCACATACTTCGGAGAATTTAAATCGTTATTGCTTTGAGGGACGCCGTTCAACTGAAACTTAAGAGACTTATAAAGGAATCATATTTATCCTCTAAAATATCTCGAGATTCATAGGATATATTCAATCTGAGAGTGACGCATCTCATTCAATGTAAGATATCGGAATTGCGCACTAAGTGTCTTTCTTCTATTATATTATGTTTCGCCTGTTTCTATATTATATCCCACGTACCCTATAGGTAAATTATGACGCGCTGTAACGCTGTCAAAGATCAACAACTCGATAAAAACAAGCTAAGGTTCGGCCGTTTAAGATCTGAGACTTAGAGCAGGCCAAAAGAGACGAGTCTTACATAGAAAAGCAATGCTCAGCATCGTATTGAAAACAAGGCTCCTATCGTACGCTCTCTAATCTACATTTTCAATATATCTAAACTGATTTCCCGCTTACAGATCGCCATTTACGGGTCAATGCTGTACGATGAGATAAGCAAACTACGTGCTAATTATTTGCTTCTCAGGCTCATGGTAATATATTAGTTCGCTTTCTAAAGCTCGTTTAATCTCATCGAATTCTTCTCTAAAGTAAAATTTCCAAAACAAATATAACGTTAGTGCTGGCAAGAGCCTTGCAGCTGGTCGAAAGTGGCCGGATCTGCGAAAAATCGTATTTTGCGTAAATCAAGGACAATTGGAATTTATGTAGTTTATGAGGGCGCGCGAACATATCAGTCCTTGAATATAAAATCTATATTTAATAAGAAAACAAACGTTTCGTTTATGATGGAAGCAGCATTGAAGAAAACGACACCTATAATAAAAATGGGCTAAGAGCGGACAGAACGTTACGCATCGAACTTATGTTGTATAATATTCGGTATTGTGCTGCAAAAGATCTGAAAACATGAAATTTAAAGATCTAGCTCATTGTTTCATTTTGACTAGAGGTAGAAAAACATAGTACAAATCGCACTTACTGACGCAGTACTTCTAGTCACCTTATGTACTACGCAGCACGATAAGCCCATTTTTGCAAGGATCAGTTGTTCCGACTGGTGCACGTAGACCGTCATACCTTTCATGCTAACTGCACAGTGTAATGCTAAACAGATAGACGTTTCCTGTAATAACTTCATGTGTGACGCATCGGCCTGCTGATCCTGTTGTCATGTTGTGGTGCAGGCTTGAACCCGAACATAGGTTCATATAGAAATATAGTCTGCAGACGAAAAATACATAGAAATGTTCCTTGTATGCTGCTGTATTAGAAAATGTATATTTTTAAAAAAATAGTTTAGCTGACCACCGTGGCCCTGATGTTCCATATATCGTCATCAGCAGCAGCAATATACGACTTAATTCAACCCTGCTATAACAAGGATGCGGGCGAGCATAGTTTACCTGTTCTGTCATCATCACCCCAGACAAAAACGGAAATCATCTTTACTCTATCGATAAGGTCTGTATTTGACACAGCTTTCGGCACTGAACAGTAAAAGGAGCTCACGAAATCGGGAGTACTTTTGCAAAACCAATCGACGTTAGATTTTACCTCAATTGTGTACGTAATAAACGGCCAATTAGAACTAGGTGAGACTTTTTTTTTTTTTTCGTAATTAGCGCTCTAGATACATATATTAGCTACAAACGTGTCCGTCATAGCGTAAATTCACATAAATACGACGCAAAATTACCCTGACAAATACGTATATCTATAAAAACAGATAGTCTTGGTGGCCCAATAACTATCAAGAAGTCAAAATTTACTAACATGTAAAAATCATTTTACTGAGCGACCTTTAGCGGGACGGGAAATGTAAGGAATCTACCAGTTCATGACGAGACCAAGTCCAATTTCGTTGCCGAGCCCAAGTTTAACAGGGGTGGCAACAGCCAGAGGCGCACCCGCGATGCCGCCGTAGCTGCTACCAAGACCAAGAGAGCCGGCCGAAACCGCAGCCACGAAGGCAAAGAAGACGACGACCTGCAGGACGGAATGAACTCACAAACATAGTGTTGAATCAGTTAGTGGTAAGAAGGTTCGAGCGAGTGAAGTGTCGATACATAGATTGAATTGTATACATTATTGGTCAATAACTGACTACGTTGCTGCTGCTAGTGTTATAGCTATGACGAACTGTGCATTTTATATTTCGGAACCGGAATAAGCCACCCTAACAAAACTGTGCAGATTATTCATAACTAACAGAAAGTGCATAGTTAAAGACGAAGTGAGCAGAGCATAAAGTGATGGCCTATGCTTGCCAGAATGAATTTTTCTTTCTGCCCTGAAGGCAGAGACGCATAATATACTTCTGATACCATATCAACTACGAACGGATTCTTACGCTCTAGCAGAGACAAATTCGCTGACGAAATCGAGATACGAAGTCGCTGCAGTGACAGCTGTTACGAGAAGGCTGTGAAGAGAGAGCGAAGGAGGGCTTAAAAACGGAAGCTTGCAACCAAAGTCATAAATCATATCTTCATATCTCGCTCTCAGACGATTTTTGCTTATGCCCTTTGACCTTGATATGAAACTGGCATTTTTTGTAATTGATATTAATCGTTTATCTAAAAGGTTATACGTATAGGTTATACGTTAGAAATTGTTCTAATAAATGTAATTTATAAACTTTTAAGTATGAATCGAACAGATACCTCATAACTTGAAACCGGATGAATATTAGAAACTAAGTTTTTACGGTTATGGAGAAACAGTTCCTCGTTGTTTGAATGTACGTATTATATACGTTTAGCCATCTCTACTAACGCTTTTAGCTTTAGTTATATAATTCGATAAACATGGGGCTTATAGCCAACTTAAGAACCTTGAAGCTTTCCGCTTTCTAGAAAGGAATACAGAACGATTCCCTCGGTTGATCTATTAAGGTTAGAAGCATTATTATAATTGCTTTTCGTTTTATCAAATAGAGGTTATTTTGAGTTAAATTACTCTATCTTATATGGAATATTAAACGTGTACAACAACCTTTTTATCGGTCGCACTTCGTCCGATCTTGTTAAACTTTTGATTTGGCTCAAGAACTTCGTATATCGGCATGACGCATAAATTTGCTTTACTTACTATGAATGGCGTGAACTACAGCTTATTTGTCCTACACACCGATTGATTCAATCTTCGACTCAAACGCTTATTTCAAATGGCCTCTTTTGGTACTATCGTCATGGAATTATGACTTTTATAAACTAGGTCTGTTACTCGCAATGTCATCTAACGGTAATGAAGTAATCATGCAAATTTCTACAAAGCATTTAATGTCTGTTTGTTGTTAACGAGAGACGAAACACATCCAGGAGATAACTATACTGTTAGAATGCTTACCTTCTTTTGGCCTATTTTATCAGTGGTCTTTGGTATAAATTCTAAAACCGATAGCACAAAAATGTTCAGCTTGTGTGGATCTGGGAATGGACGGTGGTCTGACGAACACAATAAAGGACGGAAAGTGAGTCAATATGAATACCACGTTATGCATTTATTTATCTGCAGCATCCAGTACTGCTTTAGCTATCTACCAGCCTTTCCCGTATGCAGGTCCAAGACCAGCTCCGTAAGCGAGACCGGCTCCGTATCCGAGCCCGATAGGAGCGGCAGCGATGGTGGGGGCGGCCACAGCGATTTTAGAAATAACGGGGGCGGCAACAGCGATCGGAGCAGGAGCTTGAATCGATCCAGAAACAACGGTCTCCTTAGTCACGAAGGGTCCAGCGGCAACAGCAATGGGGGCAGCAACAGCCAGAGAGGGGACAGCAAGCCTGCATCCTCCCAGAGTGCATCCTCCAAGATGGCCAGCAAAGGCGGCGGCGATGACAGCGGCAAAAACAACGAGCTGGAAATGACGGGATAATTACGACAACAAGGGATTATGATAACATCTAAAAAAAAAATTAGCTCTTTGTGGTTGTACGGTATTAGAAAATGAATATGCTATGTGGCTTAGCTTTCTAGATTGATCAGCTACAAAACCATCGACGACACTTTGTAACAGTCTACTAACGGTCTGCATGTTAATTACTGTAGTTGTAAGCAACTATTACAACTTTAGCTCTTCAGAAATGGCCTTATATATATTCGCAACATAAGGCAGCTCAAGCAAAGTCCTAATGACTGGGAGAGATTATATATGAGACATCCAAGGTGATTATGCGAAATGGGGTGGAAGCAGAAATACAGAAGCAGAAAATGTGTTTATATCAACTCAGCAGTTTATTTCCACGTAACAGCGACAATTAATAGTGCCTATTGAAAATTTTCGCTTCGAAGAAGTCGGCTTTGGGCGGTGACGCGGTCGATGCTGGAGCAAGCAGCGGTAACCCTCTCTTAAACAAAATCGAAGGAGAACGCATCATGTGGTACAAAGCGAAGCTGCCGATTATGGCAGTAATTCGGTGGGGCCTTGACAGCTTTAGTTTCAGTTATAGAATTCATACGTTGAAATAACCTTTATAATAATAATATCTAAAAACGGTAGAAGGGCATTATGTTAGTCGCAAGTGAACATGCCAAACGGAATACGTCTCAGCGTCTGCTTGTTCAGCAAGGATCTGAAAGTCTGAGGTTACAGTATTGAAATCTGACTTTGTTTCTGTCTTCGCTGCTACAAACCTCATAACACCTTTCTAAACTCAATTAAGCCTGTTAGCTTTCTTAAGTGTGTTTGTTAGTTTAAGTAAAGGCATTGAAAAAAGTACCTGAAAAAGACACACCAAATATACCATTCAGTGGGGAACAAGTGGCTTTTTTCGATGATACACATATCACACAGCAGTGCTCAAACTAGTAGTTCTCGACTTCTCTACTCGAAGTATTTAAAAGTTTACTGTGAATCACTATAGAATAAGGGTATCTGATATGATTCTTATATACCTCTACGATAACGCCCACTTCCTTGGAAGACACATATAAAGCCAGCCCCTCTTGCCTAATGAAAATGTCTGTTATGGGTCATCAGCACAATGTTGGGTTTCATTGGAGAGAAGCTTTGACTAAGGGATTGAGTGGAGTAAATACAGTATTTCGTTACCTATCCCTAATATAGTTTCATTAAGCTAACAGACTATGAAATTGATTTAAATCGCCTTTTATCGTAGCTTTAGACATAAGGTGGATCGATTTTTACGCTTCCAAAACGGAAAACGAAGGCGAATTTGCGTGCGTGTCTGCACTTTATATTTGTCTAGAGGGTCTAATTTTCATTAGACATGGAAAACGATATCAGCGCAGTGTCCTGCGAAGGACTTCTTGCAGAACTTGATTTAAATAGTTTCGTATCCGCTTCACAAATACAATATTTCAGATTGCTTTCGGCGTTGTTTGATACCCTTTATTTTTTAACACAGCCCTACAGGAGAAAAATTGAGGGAAGTCCAACGAGAGGTCCAGGGCGGTCACTTGATGCACCAGGATCAGCCGGCCTGGGAAAATGCATCGAAGTAGATTGGTTGGTTTCGGCGCGATGTGTCAAGTTGCTGCATCTTCCTTTTTGAAACTAAAAGCTGTTTGCATAAGTGCCCTCAGTTCGGTTCACAGCTTTTACCTGAAGGGTTTGCAAGATCTCGCAAGAGCGTTCACCATTGACCGTCATTGCCATTATATAGCCATTATCGACGTAGAGAAACCCAGTGATACGTTCTCTTCAAAAGCCGTATTACACACGGCGACTTTTGCTGAGTGAAGCGGTCGCTCGATACACATCCCTGGGTTCTTTAAAGCTTAAGCTTTGTTTCGTTTGTTTCTTACCCACTGAGCTAAGAATAAGCTGTATGGAAAAGATGACGTGATCAAAGAGGTCGCTAGCAAAATGCTCAGCGCTTTAGATTAGCGAATGATGGTCTTAAATCTCTAACTGCTTGACCGTTTGTAGTTGCAAACCGCTCCTTAGTAGGCCTATTCGTTAAGCATGACATCGCATTCGATCCATATCCGCACGCCCCTATTTTGTGCCTCGAATGTCTGGCTCGTGCTTTCGGTGGCCTTCTTATTCTCGCGGGTGAGCCAATATTTCTGTATTTCATGATCAATTGCTGCCGCAGCATGACCCTCGTCGAAAGAAAGGTGTCGTCCGTGTGTCCGTGTCCACTATCATTGACTCACTGGTTCAGTTACAAGTTTCTACGAAAACCAAATGCGACTATACATTTTGATTTTTCAGCACTGCAATTTGCTAACGTTGCTAGGTTTTTTCCATGGTTTGCTAGCCTGCTGGCTCGGGTTTGCAAACTCAGAGGGAAACAATTATTCCTTATAGAACAGACTTTTGAGCGAAACTCAAAACTTCGACAATAATATGTCAAGTTATATAACACCCGATTTATTCTCATGGATGTGTTAACACCGATTTTTATATTCTACTATTACTATTACTATTTAGGTAACTTTTTTCTTTGTTTTGATAAAACGAAATCTATTTTACCAAATCGAATAGTCCCTATACTTATACAATAATATAGACAAGTGCATGAAAACACGGAAGCATATATTCAAGTATTGCCGACCAAATGTTATTTCTGCACAAATCAGCAAAAGGATCTGGTTACTTAGTTTAGTTATTAATTGGGTTGAGGTATTAGCATACACGAACGGTTTGTGTTTTATTGGAATGGGAGTAAGGTTAAGATTCAATTTTTTTATTTGAGTTTCCGCGCCATCTTCGTTGCGTCAACCTGTATCCTTGACGTCAACCAGGGGGCGCAACCTATATGGAGTCCTTACCCTGTTCGAGGAGGAGGGAGTTGAGCACGCGAGCAGCCCTTTTGGCGCCGCACTGTACGGGCAAAGTACGTACAGCATGTACTGCGGGTCGCTATCGAAAGATCTGAAAGCTCTGTGCCCCCGGCGGTGCACAGAAGGGACGTATAACCAGCCTACTCTGGAAAGCTGGAATATTTGATGTTCGATTGTGATTAGTGTTTTCGCCGGCAAGTGCTGGATACTGTGTGTGAGATGTTATGGGTGCAGTGAGATACTGTATCATGCCATTGGATTAAAGCAGACGTTTACTGTTTTGCAGCGCATAACGACTTAGTGAGGTTTGGGGAGTGCCTGTTCCGCATTGGAATGGTGATAGTCTACATCTACGGAGCTATGCGGCAGGAGGCGACAAGGTACGCGTTTCATTGAGAAGCCTCACGTTTGAATGATACCTGCAAAGGTCTGTATTGGGCTTCCGGGGTGTCTGGGAGCAGAATACCGTCGAAATTGATTGCAGCTCGTCTTGGTAAAATGTCTTATGCACAGCACTGCGAGGCGGTTGATAAGAGACGCGACCACGAGTTCTTGAAGGGGGATGTGGGATGCCTTTACTGAAGCGGAAGAGCGCGTGTTCTTTCGCCAAAGTCCAATAAGCCAAACTCTGCCGAGTCGGACGTTTAAATCAATTAATAATGAGACACGACGAATAAATATGGCTTGCTCCAGCTCCTGTTGCCGGCTCTGTTTTCGCTGCTGCGTCACCAAATCGCCTATCACTCCTACAAACTGTTAAGGAATCGGAGCGACATAGCCCTTACACATATACTGATATGCATATGGATACTTTTTGGAGGGCACTTTGCCACTCCTATTCTTTACTCTTCAAGCGTTGTTCGAATAGAAATCCGTACGAGTAAAACGCGTTCATTTGCCTGCTACGACTATAGACGTAATCGTATATTGTAACGACGCAGTTGGTTCTAGCTAGTACTTTATGGCGTTTCTTTCTTTTGTGCAACATTTACATCAAACCCAATAGCAAAGCAGAATTTGAGTTCGACGCAAAAAATCTCGTGACAATTAACGTAGATTTTGTGCAACGAGATCGGGACAAAGGGTTGATGTAAGGCTTCTTTAGTAGTCTAATCAAACGAGTAGGAATTGGCCTTGTCGAAAACTGTCACACAGTCCTGTCAATTAGTATCCAGCTGAAGTGGCTAGACAGGCAAGAAATCTCTCTCTACTTCGTCACGTGTCAGTCTTTTCCTTTGCTTGAATGAGGTCAACACTTCCGCGTGTCGCATTTACTCGACTAGACGTCTTTTAATGACTACTAGCCAGGGCGCATGAGTTCATTACACGATTTTTTTTATACATCTTTGATGAACTGGCTAAAACCCATTTAACCGGCAGTGTCAGAACTCTGTTCAGTAAAACGTTCCCGTTTCGCCTTGCTTAACTGTTATTGGTACACCCCCACGATCTCGTGTTCGACTCGTACAAGATTCCCTTTGAATCTGCAAACGCAAAAATATTCAAAACTGTGTTAATTAGTCTGCTATCAGTTGAAATAACCTCTGCTAGAAACTGTTGACCTATGTCGTTTAATGAAGTGTTTATCTCTGGATTTCAATGCATAGGTTTAATAGGTCATTTTCCATTAGATTACTAAAAGCTAAATTAGCGGACAGCTATTATACATATGTTCTACCGTCGTGATTCCTCGGGGATTAAGGAATGTTTTCATCTATTTAGTCGTCTGTTTGTTTATTAATAAATTATCATCGGGGATATTTAATGTGCGTAGTGACATTACATTGGTTACGGTTGAGTGTTCATGCAGCCGTTTACGTATGAGAGTGTACCTTTATACAATCATACATATATATATATATATAGATATAAAACATTAATCTAATAGATATGATCATCGCAAACCCAAAATATAAACTAAGATCGAGTTATATAATTCATTCAGTCTAGCCAGAACATAATCGATAACCGGTCAAAGGGTAATCTTATTGGCAATACTGGAAAAAGAAGTTTATGTCAACTGTATCAAGGTGTGCACCCTAACCCAGGTAGTGGTTGACCAATACGTAATTCTAGGTTTAAGCGCTTTGAATTAAATTAAAGAGGAGCTATGTTATGTCGGCCGCTCCCTGAGAGACGAGTCTAAGCTGGCAGATTTACATCTCGTAAACAAGGTGTCTTCGATCAATTGCACTTTTCTCATGTATAGAAGCTCACGTATAGCACATATGACTGATTGGATTACATGAGCATAGCTAGAACATGAGTCTGGACATGAGTCCCGGCCAAATTATATATGTAGCAATGACAACGACTAATTGTATAACTAATACAGTGGCATAGACGGTAGTATCTCTAATCGATGATCGTCC